ACGCAACCTATTATTATTAATCCTAATTTCCACTTCAACTTTCTCGATCGATATTATATTTATGTTAGCCCTGTATTCTAATAGTCCTCTGATTAGTGCTCACATGCATTATCGTAATGTTATATTGATTAGTCCTCATGACAAACTAGCTCAATCGATAATAAAAACTGGTCGTCTATATTAACTAATTAGCTTTGATGATTTGTTAACAAGCTGTAATAGCATTTACATGCTTCAGCGATATAGTCTTGTTTAAACATCAAGCTCTAGCAAATATGACCTGTAAATAGCGTAAATATACATTGACTAACAATGCGATTAAGGACTAAATAGTTATGTGGATCTAATTCTCAGTGTTCCTTCACTTAACACCTCATCCTGTTTTAAAACGATGCACTATCCTGTAATATCTTTTCTTCTGACCACTGCCTGCCTAATTTCATATTCTCGAGTTCCATTGCCAAACAACGAGGATGACTACTCCAAAAACATACGGTGAGTTTCAGCTATAAGTTTTCTGCAATCATTTTTAGATGGTTCGTTCAATGACAACCATACAATTATCTGGATTCATTCGATTGTTCTGATCTGAGCGAGTGTCAAAAACCTCAACAGCATCAAGCACCCTGGAATTAATTGCCATACTGCATGTTTTATTCTGGATGCTTTTGGATCAATACTACTCACGAATGGCGTTATATATGTCGTCCACTGAATAATCTAATTTTCAAAAATAACCCAGGCGAGTTCAACTATTTTACTTAATGATTTTTTTTACTTAACATGTATATGTTTTCCGGTTCCTTTTGCTATATATTTGTAAGTGTCCCTAGGCTAAATGCAGTAACTCCTTATGGAATGTTTATAACGCATCATATTCCTGCCTGAAGTTTCACAAGCAGTCTAAACTTTAAAACTATTTTCTGGTCATGTTCATTATTTTTAAATCGTCATATACGTCAACAACCTGCATGTTAACCTGGCCCATACATACGTTGCACTATATCTCCATGTCTTCTAAATTTAGGAATCATCTGAGTCGCCTTTAGCATTTATCAATAAACCCATCATAGTCGTTGTTGCTAATCGTATTTGGGTTTATGGATTGGTTTATCATATTAGCAGCCTAAAATGCGAACATAGTTTAGATAATAAGATAAAAAATTTAAGTACTATCAACTGCACTAGTAAAATAACTAAATCCCCAGGTAGCTGTTGGCTAAACAAACGTTTGAAATCAAAACTCCGTAGCCTACTAGAATTAACTGTAAACGAATATTTCTGAATTGAAAAATATAATTAAATTAGGCGTCTCGGATTCCTTAACGTTGTAAATTTCTGATAATTTCGAATCACATAAAGCAACAATACCTATTTTTCCACTGACTAATCCTCAATCAACACTATAACTAGTTAAACATAATAGTTTCAGGATATCGTCATAAAGCATTGTCATAACTTGACAATCACGTAATATGATTGATAAAATTAATGAAACTATTAACGAAATCAGTCAACAAATTGACTTATAACTACCATTAAATGGTGTTGTTTTCTTGGTATCTTCATCCATCACAGATGATTACAGTATGTTTCTCTATCAGTTGCTCATTCAATAAATATCTCAAAACCTTGTCAGTCTAATTGATGGTTTAGCGACACAATCATGCATGCAAATAATCAGTATAAGCAGTCGAGCAAATCTCCTGCAAACTGAAAACATCAATGTCGAATTTACCCCAACACTGACTAAGGTTCAAGCCATTGTCATAGACATGAGTTGGGAGTGTACCTCCCCTTGGTTACAACTTATGTTCTCCCTGATAATCACATGAGCATCACTCACTATTAATCATCTTGTAAAAACATATTTAGCTAAATACATCTTGCAGCACCACATCACTTCGTAATATGACACATAGGCTTAACTGATTTCAATAACTTATAACCACTATATCTCAATTAAATCGTATTCCGCCTTATGATAAACTGCATACTTGCAACTAACTTGTATGCATCATCAGCCGTCAGGTATAAATATGTATAAATAGTCTATGGCAACTCAGAACATTGAGTCTAGAGCATGTCTCTTACGAATACACTCATGTTTAACGATTTGTTCTTAGCTATCTGTCCAAAACTCATATAATTATCACTCATATATTGAAATTTTCTTTTAATAACCATTCATGTGTATTAGTAGTATTACTAAATTCTATCACGGTCAAGTAAAAATAAGGTTGAGAAAATCTCCCCGTAACTAAATAAGCCGTATCAAACTAACTGGAACACTAGTTGGAATTCTTCTCCACGGTATACTTTTGTTCTTCCAGTTAGCCTACTAATACAGATGCAATTGGAAATCACATATGGACGGGTTACCGGCATAATTGTTAATTGGTTTCATAATTTAAACCAAAACTAATACCAATATTAACATTTCTACAATATTCATTACTTTAATATTTCTAAACACAAAATACTTACTACCTATACGTCAAGTTATTAACCAACGGCTATTAACACGCACTGTTTTATTATTATTACTGTAATCCCATTTTTTTATAGCTCAAATAATCTTCACCCAAATTGTCATTTTAAGTGTGTTAAGCATGAAGGCAGTTTTTTTAAAAAAATTATTACATGTATTTCCCGACCAGATGCTGCCGTCTTTTTGATTTATCTTTCAGCTTATCAATACCCGGAGGATCCTTATTATCCTTGGTAACCTCCGGCGCGCGACGATCCCATCCAATTCGGTATCGAACCAACATCACGTTGATTCTGGTGGGAGAGTAGTGTAGTGGCATTGAACAATAACCGCACAATCCACAAAGCTGAACACGAGACTACTCAGAAAATAGATATTCAATATTTAACGCGGATAAATACCTAACGATGGAGAAGGCGCGAACAATGAATTGAATGGACTGGAGTTGATCGAGTGGCATGGCTCGGCCATGCAGGCGTGGTCTCTATTCATATTAAATATATTGTTCTTTCTCTAACCTAACCTCGTTCTTCATCATGTATTGGTAATTGATACGATACAGTGAGTTGGCGTAGTCGATGGTGTGACTTCCACGTAAGATCTTATAGATTAGGCAGTTATATCATGACGAATCTACAAATTTAGGATTAGGTCTATTATTAGAGCAGTACTAATATCATAGTAGACCATAGTTCTACAGATCACTAGTGTACTGAGTATATAGAGTTATTTACTATAACCCCTTTAATTAAGTATTGTGCATGTAATATATACATGAGAGCTGAGACATCTATGCCTATATGTACTTTCGAGATGAGCAAAGTTTCCTGTGTATTCTGTGATTGCATTTAACACATACTGAAAGCACATCTGTGCTTATTTGTGTCACTGAAATGTACGTATCTCTGATATGCACAATCAGGCATGTGCATATAAACCATAGTTAGGAGAGAGTTCCACGTTCTTCACTGGTGAACTCAATGGAATTTAAGTCAGTGCCTAAGACTCTGAAAACTAAATATCGTTCTGTATAACATGCCATTGGAAATATTAGGCTTGAAAGCGGGCATTGTATAGTTAACGTCTAGGTCCGATAGGCGTGATCATATTCAGTGACATGATGTTGCACCATTATCGATCACGCTAATATAGAAAGGAGTGGACCTGCTCTGTCAGGAACATATTATTGTCACTTTACTTGGTGTTATGCGAAAAGGTTGGAACGCCGATTTGAAACGCAGATTTCCTGTCCTGTTTTCAAAACGGGATGAGTTATAAATTACTCCTGATGGAATTTTGCATCTAAGTGATCGCGTTATTGTTTCTTCTTCAGTAAGTAAATATATTCTAGATTTTTATGGCGGAGACTGTGTCTCATCAAACTCATAAACGTATCAATGCTAGGCCACCATTAAAAGCCTGTGGGCGCTAGACGGCCGTTTCGTCCTAATACGTGAATCCTCAGCGCTGCAGCTCCGTGATCCCACACTCAGGATTCGAAAACAACACCAGATATTCACCGCTGGGTTTCATATTCACTAATTAACACAAAGGAAGGTCAACAAAGATGAACGCAGGAAGATTCATCCAGTCGGATGGCATGGCTCAACCTCTCAGACGTGATCATTCTGAATAAATTATCTTTACTCAAAGAATGTCCTGGTATTTTCTGTCAGTGTTCAGCACTAAGACCTCTTCTTTTCTTAATTTGAGTAAATCGTTTTTCTAAGCATGTATCATCTGATTTAATGCGTTGTGCTGACAATGTGAAACCCTGAAGAAAATTTTACAGCCTAGGTGGATGCTGCTACCTATAGAGTAATTAAATCGACCTAATAGTTGGGCAGATATCAACCGACTTACATTCACCACTTCAAAGTGTAATGTAGTCCATCTAAAACGTGTTGCAGACTACACATGCAACTTGAATAGCTCTCCTCTAGAGGTATTGCCAGTCAAAAATATCTGCCAAGTTTGGTACGGAATAATCTGAAGTTTTGCACTAACAGCGTCAAAAAATACCTTTCTGTAAGCCCTGCACTAGTAATATTGCAGAACATATCTGACCGGTTCGAAAGTAGAAATTTCCACTTAATCCTGGATAGTTTTATTCGGCCAGCATCATAAACACTCTTCATAATCCCATTCAATACCTACAGTAGGCACATATTTTACTCTATATGAGTAGTCCAATTCTATAATTCACTGCTGGTTCAGCTATTTCAAGCGATTATTCATCAGCTCTTAAAGAGAAAACTCGACATATTCTTAGTGCTTAATAATGGTATTTTTTAATTTATCGTTTACTATATCGAGGTTCCTACTTGTAAGTATCGATGATCCATTACTTCTAGTCACGGTAAACTATTAAAAAAAGGTACTCTTATTCTGTTCAGAACCATTTGAAACGCTCGAAATAACGAGCGAGCACAAATAAACCAACCAGTTTATCTCAGCTGCTCAAACCTTCTTCTTTATGAGATGAATTTTGTTTAAATGAATCATTTCGTGAGAATTTATTTTGTCCTGAAGTTAAACTGCAAATTTCGATGGCTAGTGCATATAGCGTGTTATATCGCTCAGTTGCACTGTGTTTTTTCATTTACATAGTATTTTATACTTATCAACTGTTTCATGGCAATGGTCCGTTTCATTTCAAGGACCTGGCATTTTTATTGCGTTTTCTTACCATCCTGACAATAGTAAGATATTTTGATACACAGACTTATTGGTGTTTCAGTCACTTCAAATTGTTTACTATGCTTTGGCGACTCCTTTACAGTATTTAAAAAACTTTAAAATGCACAGCTCATTATACGCTCTCGCATTTACGGCCAATTTAGTAAGTGGATTTCGATTCTAATATGTAGATTGTGTGTATTATGTTCTGGGGCATTTTCATCGCAGATAAGGCTTTGTTGATGAAGGAATCTGAAATGAAATTTGTCCCATGGTGGTATAATCATGCTTGTGTAAGTCTGGTCGTAAGTTTTATTTCAGCACACTGTTGGAACTCCTGCCATCATAATTGACGCTTTACTATGGAGACCAACAATCGTTCCTATATCGAACTCAGTCATGCTTCTTCTAGCATACTTCGGTGGATATGTAGCCTAGTAAGTTCCATCACAGCTTTGTTTTTTGGCGTTTACTAGGCATTTTCAAGGTCTATATATTGTGTTCTGCAGTAAATATTTTAGTATCCGATGTGATCTTTTGGAAACATTGCAAGTAGTTTTATCTTCTCAGACTGCTCCGTTTATATTCTAAATGCGGGCTGTACGTTAGCGTCAGCAAGACATGATTTCATTAAGCAACAGCAAAAGTACCTAATTACAGAAGTAGATGGATTATCTTTGAAGCTTTCATGCAAATCACCAAATGACCCGGAAATATGTGCTTAACTCTACAACACGAAACCACCATCCACACTTTTTATCCATCAGGTTTATTCTCTCCACAAATAAAGGTCATACATGGAACCTAGTACATGTGCATCGGTTCACAGTACCTTCGATAACAGAGGTGTTCTGATAGGATTACGGCTCAGGGTTTATACTAACCTCTTGAACCATACCCTACCGAATGTAACCAGATACAAGCGACTATGGTTTTGGTAACCCCCACAACTATATGTAGTCCATAATGTAATATACAGATATCGACGTGTTTACCGTCACATTCAAGAGGGATTATTTGCTACCCATACATCTCTCCTTTGAAGTATGTTGCTACCTGTAAAACAACTTAAAGTTACTTGCAGAACCTTAAGTTTGTGTTGATTATCGATTTCGCTTTCAGTGTGGAATACCTTATACGCATTCATCGTTTCTACCCTTATCCCATACTTGCGGTTTTCTCGGATATTGGACGATTTGGATTTTATTCAGTGGTGATCATCGCTACTATCCTTTGCTTCGGAGTCGGTGTACTGATGGTTCGCTCTCTAAATAAGACTCAACATAAAAGGTTCACTTCAAAAACACAGCAACGAACAGAGCGAAAAGAGTCTACTCCTGTTCAGAGTAAGTGTTGGTGTACCTTAATTTCTGCTTGTTTATTTATAATTGATCTAATTCATCTATATGATTCTGTCCTTTTTTTATCTTGCCGGCTAAATGACCGATTTCTGTCGTAGAGACTTGTTGGTTAACGTCACGTTATCAGCCAACTATTGAAATGGCAGTTTTTCAATCGATATTTTTGACAAGTGTTTCAATACAACGATTGTCTACCTCCGGATTTTTAGTTATCTGATGACAACTACGTAGTACAATGAAAAATCTGATCCTAGCATCATCATGTCAAGGTTACTTTAGTTTTCGTATAGTGTCCCTTAAAATAAAAGGTAATTACAAATAGAAAAAAGCACCTCTTGACTAAAAACCTGTAATGATTCATGAATCCTTATGATTCAATTAATCTTTCCTATAGTTCATCATCCTGATTAAAAAGGGTAGACTTCTTTCACTGTAAATTAGTGTATCTGTGTGATTATCAATAGTCATATGTGTGAGTGGACTAGAACACTGTGTGCGGGTGCTAATTCAAAGCAGGCAGTTTTAGGGGGCTGGTCCCTGAGCCATTGACTTGAAGGTCTAGTCCACAAGGTAATGGAGCAGTGTCATACTATCTGTTAACCGAATAGGATTATAGGCCATTCGTCCCCTCAACATCATGCAGGTCAATTTTTAATGTTGGTCTAGAGTTAACGTTTTCTAACCTGCTTAAGTGACCCCCCCGTGTCCATCAGCCCTGTTTGCTTCTCTTTCACTCAATTTTGTAAACAACGGTAGCATCGTGTGAAAGCAAGTGGGTAGGGTTTCTATTGCATGAACTAAAATGTTGTGGCCGTATTTGACTATTTCTATGGGAAGTGTCAACCTTACACCAACAGCCGTACCGCGGCATTGAAGAGTTTCAATGTTATCCTTTTCGTGGCTCATCCTATTTTGGTGCTCAGTTGTGTCAACTTATAATTTTATTAAACAAATAAAATGAACATGATCAATTTATTATTTGTGATGCACATGACAATGGAAACTGATCATAGAAATAGACCTACCTCAATATCGATTGAAATGGTCCTGTCAGGTCAGCATTACATGGTATTGTAATTTTCTGATTCATACATCTTGTTTTCCCCTATGTTTCTCCCTGTTTGTTTGATAATCGCTATCCGTCAATACTGAAGCCATTTTTAAGTAGCCTCGTTGATTTTGCATCAGTGTGTACATATTCTAAACCAATTTACACTTTTTCGTCATGTTATACATTTTTTTCTTTCTAAACTTGTGAACCCACCTAATATAATATCCTGACTATCTTTCTCAGTTGTATATTACATAAGCTATCTACTTGTCTCTCTCCCCATGGTTTATTTCTATATATCTGAGTTATAAGTATATCTATGTATGTATTTATATTGCTGCATTATTGGCTTCACAGGTAGACACAAGAAATCTAAGAAGATGGATTGAAATGTGAAATGGCAGAACAATATTCTGGCTTTCTCAGTGTCTCCTAATTTTTCTTCTCATCATCATAACTGCAACTACCGCTACAATTAAAATCCTCAGGAAACAAATGAATTTTTTTCTCTCCACAGCGCTATTCTGTATCGTCGTTGTCCTCCCTCTCTTATTTATTTGTAAATTATGTCGTTAGTGTATTTTTTGATCGTCACTTTTTCCCTTCATTTTGATGGGAATCTGGCATTAATCCACATTGTTATTCGAAACTAATTTTCTAACGTTCCCTTAGTCAATTGAAATATGTTGTCTCTATTTATCCTTTATTTTAAGAAATAGTTTATATATATTTGTGCGACATTTAAATTTTTTAATAATGATGCTCATTTACCACATACTTATGTAAGTACTGTTTCACACGTGTCCTGTCTATCGTTGTTGGTTTACTGTGGGGAGAGGGTTATGCCAAGAAGTTCATTCCTTGTGACGTGGTGGTAGTAGCTTACTTTGTTATGGACTGGAGTAAACTATGTAAAAGCGAACAAAGACACTCAAAGTCTGTCTAATCGAGGAGAAAATATCAACGAAAACGTACATAACCATGAATATAGAATTGGAGATCGTAAAGAACCAACATGTAATGTGAAATGACAGCTTGCTCCCACTGGACATATCATTGAGATATTTTAGCGTAAGTAATATACATTTATTTTAGTCACTCCATTATAAGCTCAAAGCCTGTTCGTCTATCTAGACTTGGAAAGAAAGTTAAATGTGACACGGTTGATTTATTTCACCGATTAATTTGTATACGAACTTATAAGTTGATAACATGACATTACTGAGTCAAGTCTTGACTCCCTTTGCCTGTGATTGACGTACACAACTCACAACTTATTTTTTAAGTGACAGGCAATCATGTTTATTCTCATGTCTTACATTTTGTGTGTAGGTGTGTTATTTGGCTAGAGAACAAAAACTGTTCTTCTGCCAAGTTGTCTTTTAATGTTTGTTCCTTTGGGAACTTACATTAGTAATTCGGTCCTGTGAACAATTATCACTAGACCATGCAATATTATTACGTTACATTAGTCGATCAGTATTATACCAAAGAATCTGAAAATCCGTTCATCATTATCACAAATTTGAGGACCCGATAACAGGTGATTTTATGAATTGGTAAGGGATGTGGATTGCTCCTTTGTTGATATTTAGGATTGTGCTTTGATCGTCCGGTCTTTGTGTGTGTGCATCCTGTACGTATTGCGTTGACGTAACGATTTCTCTCACGTTTTTTTAAAAACCATACCCATTGGACGAGCTAGTGGTTATTTGGACTGGGATAACGAATTGGGGTTTGAAGCTCAAGGTACTAGATTGTAGTCTCAATATGAACATCAACACTGTGATACAGGTATATCCGCCTCTTCGCTTCTGATTTCATTGGGTTGGCACGTTTCCATCACAAAAGGTGTTACTGGTTGAGACGTTGTCAAACTCAAAATGCTTGTGGCATCTTTAGGTTTAATGCTTTTGTCGGACATTTTACAAGATTGTCTATATGTGACCGACACATTGATAAGATTGGACGTAAGTGGGTGTGCGCTTATGAATCTTTGGTAGTCCATATAAATTAGGGTACACCGAACCTATATGTTTTAACAAAGTAGACTCATCTTCGTTAATAGCGCTCATGTTTGATAATTTCGCTAGATTCGAGTTTATTTTCCTTTCCAATTTACATAATTCATCAGAGTCAACATCAGTCATAAATTTGCTTTTATCACTGACAATGGACTCCATTTTATTTTTGTAATCAAACTTATTCGTAATAACGACACCTGATCCTTTACAATGCTTAACTAAAATAATATCAGCATTATTTCGCAATTCTTCAAATGAACTGAAGTGCTGAGTCGTTAATATGCTTCTCTGTTTTGGTACAAGAGAATGGAACTGGTGCGTTATATCCACTAGTTTAGCTTTAAACCAACTTTGGCTCTCTAAATATGAAGGGGCTAAAGTACTCAATTGATCATAGAGGTTTTCGGATTTGGCATTGCCTGTCAATTCAGAGATTTGTTGTAGGGACAGAAAAATTAAAACCCACAGAAAGTGCCTCCTTCTCATGAACGGACAATACAATAGAGGATAAATTAGTGACATGTCTATCGGGATTTGCTGGGACAGGAGTGAGATGGGTTAATTTCTTCCCAATTATCTTAAACCTCGTTTATCATGGCTGTGCATTCATATGTTGATGTAACGACTGATTATAAAACTAGTGCTAATTCAATAGTTGTGCGTGGGTATAACGGGAGGAGTATTGAGGACGCTCAGACGTTTGATGTTACTTTACGGATTATCATTGTCTAAGTTTAGATAAGTGAGTTATTGTACTTCTACATTCTCTTTACTGTGAGCGTTCAGTGAATCTACATATTAATTATTGCTAGTTGATTATGTACTATTTGCTTTGTTCTCTGTTGCTTATATCATGATAATGTTTAAAGTGTGATTTCTTATTTGATATGCTTTGCTGTTTGATAGCCCATGTAAATAAACCTATGAGGGCTTAAAATATAAATATATGGAAGCTTATTTAATGCTGTGCCCACTTATCGGACTCATTACGTGAATAGACAAGTATGTGTTCTGGACTAATAAGGTTTAGAATTATCTCAACCACATTTCAAGTTTCGTCATGTCCGTTGAAGCGTGTCAATGGTCAGAATGTGGGATTTTATTACATAGACAGGAAAGTAAGGCTTGATTGGATAATTACAAGTGTGAGTTCTGGTTGTTGTCTCAGTGATATGGATAACCAGTTTATAATTTGGGGAGGACCATCAAGTTGTAAGCTAGCGGGAGGGAGATCTGATTTTCAAAAATGATTTCATGATAGTGAATCGATTTAGTAGACATTCTTTGAAGTTACGCGAGTAGCCATTTTTACAGATGTACATGAAACGGGGCTTACCAGTCTTCCACGTCGAGGAAGCTGAAATTCAGTTCAGCTCTTCTAAATTTTCTCTGCTTAGATCTCACTCTGTGGGCGGTCAAGTTGTCGCTGTTATGATCTAAGATTTGGTCTGCATGACTAGGTTTCGCGCGTATTTGTGACTACAAAGTTTTTGTATTAGTTCTACTGATTAGGATATCTATGAAGAGAACTCTATCTCCTGATTCCTCCCATGTGAACCCCTGTCTTCAAAGATGTGGCTGACGAACTTGTGTGTGTATAGTTGGCGTCGAGTCCCGGTCGACTATGATCACCACTACAGATAGACTACGTGCCAGTTACTAGGTTAGACCCCTCCATAGGCCAAATATCAGAAGGCAGTTGAAGGTTGTAGTTAAGATGTATTTGTCGGCGATCTCGTGATAACGAAATAATACCGAGATCGTGTCAAAATCTACAAGCGAGACTGCCGAGCGTACGAGAATTTGTGTAAAGTCACAAACAACGCAAGAGTGTGTTGTTGGTACAATTAAACAAAAAGAGTGCAGTAAAACAATCACTGATACAACTGGTTATAATGATAAATGTTTCCACTACACCAATCGCGTTCTCTTCATAAAAGTAGATCACTACAGGTGTATCGTGTTCGTGTCATTGAAGTGCAACTAATTTGTCGTTTATATAGCATTTACAAATCTTTGTTTTTATTTTCGGCAGAACTGTAGATTCGTGTGTTTACATTACTGTTTCATCAACGAGTCCTTGTATAACCGATTCCAATGAGTTCTTGAAATTCGTTCGTTTATTTGAACACTAAACTGGGAATTCCTTGTAAGACACAGATCCGTGCGGTTTATCCGAGTCGACCTCTGCATTGTATGCTCGGAGAGTGACTCATTTTTTGTTTGGTCAGGTCTTGACAAAATTTATTTCTTTGATGTCATATAGTTTTTTGAACAAATTTGTTATACAACTATCGTGAAGGGGTACCAATAAATTTGCATTGACAATATCAACATCGACGTGTCATGTTTAAAGCGAAAGTTTATCAAATTATTGCCTATTCTAATTATTTCTTTAAAAATTATTGGGAAATTTTCTATTTTTTCAGTGGATATCAATGTTTTTTATTTTTAGATCAGTAACGTTTTAGAGAATATGGTTTTCGCAAATCTTCATCTAATAACTAAGTATCACGCATAGTAAATGAAAAAATAGTGATGATTAAACCTAGTTAAACATGGTATTGCGATTTGTTAAGGATTAATATAACTGTTGTAAGGTCGTTTGTAATCAATCTTCATCACGCCTGATACAATCACTAATTTTATTGTGATCGTGAAGTTTTAATGCCTGTGTTTATGTATATCTTTAGGGTCAACACTTGCGATTCTCAGTACAGAGTTTTGTGGACATTATAAAACTTTCGCATAATTTGAATCACGAACTGATTTCATTTAGACTACCATCAAGAACCTATAAGCACTGAATGGCCGTTTATTTTTAGTATGTGACATGTCAGTCAAGCAAACTCACGGCGTAGCATTCTGGAATCCAACATCAAGTCTTTCTTTCTCACTATAGAACGCTGAACCGACATCCAACGCTGGTAATGTTCAAATCCGATCAATTCGCAATAAACTTCATAAAACCCTATTCTGATTATGACTATGTACTCACTTGTGACTAGATTCAAGATGTAGTTCTTGGAGTTCTAGTCACAAGCCGTGACCATTGGAGTTCGATCCGTATTGGGTATGAGAAAGTCATTTAACGCAGGCAAAGGGAAATAATCGAGCAATATCGCAAACTGACTGAGTTAGACGCACCACTGGATACTGCCTCAGCGTTCTATAAGTTAACCGTTCTCTGGCGGTACCAAAGATCCCTCTTTGGATCCCTGGATGGGGGATCTTGGATGTGCACTACTGACTAGCCACAAACCAGAACTAAACGGTCATCCGGTACTTCCAGGTTCGTAATGGTGGTCTAAGGAAAATCAGTTTATGAATCAAATATTTGCAATCGTGTCATGGTTAGCGATTCACATAAGATTCATTTGAATCTCACATTCTGTTTAACCTAAAAAGAAGTCGGCTTGTCAGTTTGTGTGTTATTTGGACTGATCTAAATATACGTTATTATGTCCTGCTTGTGTAACCATAACAACGATTATTATTACTACGAATTTCATGATGCGATCAGTGTCACACTTATGCCTACTGTTCACTATGTCCTTTCTAACACTATCCATGCTCTGATATTTACTTATTTCATTGTCTTTAGGCTGGGACATACAAGTTCTTTTGAAAGTCTCATTCCTCTTCTTACTCACATGAGATTGTCAACATTAACAAGTTGTCCTTTACTGATCATCTTGTCTGCACACTTCAGTTATACCCGCTTTCATACTGAAGCCGTAGTACTAATTTACT